TTATATTTTCCTTAAAATGTTCTTCCTAACTTCAGGCCTTATTCTCATGTCATATATAAATGTGATGTTCTGCAAAACAAAGCTTTAAAACACTTTTTTCTTACTGGTGAAAATCAGATGGTCAAATCTGTTTTCTCAGGTACATCGCAATGTAACCTTCACAGTGAACATTACTACATCACTCTCGTCAACGTAGTCCATATCAACAACACAAATATATCTTGACTCCATATAGTGGTTATTTTGGGAAAATCCCAGGTATTTTGAGCAGTAGGATTATAAAAAATATGTGCTAATATAAAATTAAATTAAGTAGACTATATAAAATTGCAAAATAAATCTATCTATCAGTACTTTTTTACTTAAGTACATAAAAAATCGAGTACTTTCACTCGAGTAAAATTGAAAAAGGAGTACTTTTACTTTTACTGGAGTAATATTTTATTATACGTATCTGTACTTTTACTCAAGTACTTGATTTGTGTACTTCGTCCACCACTGGCGAGCACATGGGCAGTGTTCTGCATCACATTCTTTCTTGAATCGGCTATAATCAGCCAATTGTCTATATACTGTATGTCAGAATCCTGAGACCCACTATTCTCAACGGGGCCAGACCCGCCTCCGTGCACAGGCAGAAAGTTTGTGGGCTGAGAGCCAAACCAAACGGGAGGACCATGAATTCATAGCCCACATCTTGGTAGGCGAAACAAAGGAATTTCCTGTGCGGAGGATAAATACTTATGTGGAAGAAAGCATCTTTCAGATCGATCGATGTGAACCAATCGTTCTGATTTATTGAGCGCAAGAGAGACCGTGTGTTAACATTCTGAAATTGTATTTCCTTAAATGTTTGTTCAACACCCTGAGATCCAAGATGGGATGGAGGTAACCATCCTTCTTTGGAATTAGGAAATAACGTGAGTAAAACCCCTGACTGCGTAAGTGAGGAGGGACCACTCGAACCGCTCCTTTCTCAAGGAGGGAGGAGATTTCGTCTTTCAGAATGTGAGCAGAGCTCTCTTCCGTATGAGAAGAGATAACTCCGTTGAAACGTGGGGGTCTTTTGGCAAACTGAAGTCTGTACCCCTTCGTTATTGTGTGAATCACCCATTCGGGAGCTGACACAGACAGCCAGGCTGTTACATGATTCGCTAGAATTCCTACACGAACCGGAGAACTGCTTAGAGCTGGCAAGTCTGCCTGTTCGCTCATTTGTGATGCAATGGCGCCATCTAGTGGACAGACTAGAGGTGACATGCAGGGGTTTAGAGAGGTATGCTCTCTCTGCGGAGAGATGTTCTCTCTCTGTAAAGAGATGCACTCTCCTTGAAACAAATTCATTTGATTTATTGTGTTTTTTTGTGTTTTGTGTGTGCACAGGGGCCGTAGCCTTTATTATTTGGGTGAGGGCAACAAAGTATGTGGTTTGGTGACACTGCTTGTGAACTTTTCCTCACAACAGACCCCCTGAACAAGGGGGGAGAACACACAACGTCCACTGAATACCTGGGCTGGACAGCCTCGGGAGGAAGGTGGCCGACCCTTCCAAGAGAGCCCTCCGTCTCTTGGATGGGGGCTCTGGGGCAAGACGCGAGTCTGAAAGGCTTGTGGCCCACAAACGCATACTCGGTGCCCCTAACGGCCGAACATCAGGCCAGCTGCTTGCGTTTAGAGTCGATTTCAGAGGGAGTAGATTTCGAGGGTCTCCCGGCCACGGCGGGAGTCGATCTACCCCAGGGCTTTGCAGTGGGTGGATTACTCTGCCGTGGAGGCAGTCTGCTGCAGGGCCTATCCTTGCCCTGCTGGAAATGTCGTCCCGTGGCAGGGGGGTTAGGCAAACGTGTAGGGGGCACCTGGCGTGGAGCTGTCTTCCAGGGAAAGCACAATTTGAAAGCCTCGTCCTCCTTCTTTTTGTCGTCGCATCGTTGCTGCATCAACGCAACGGCAGGGCCAAAGAGAGCCTGGCCAGGCTCCATGGGGGCGCCCGCGATGTGCCCCTTTTTTCACTGTCAGGGAGCCCCGACAGATTAAGCCAAAGCGCGTGCTCTCCCACCACAGAAAGCGCCATAGAACACCCACAGGCTTGGACGGCCTGACGAGCATTCCGGAGGACGAGGTCGTTAACCATGAGAATCTCTTTCCACAAAGTAGGCAAAGGCGACTCTAGTTGTTGCCCTAAGTAGTCCAAAAGTTCCGCCTGGTACGCGGAGAGTAGAGAGGAAACGTTAAGCGCCCTGACAGACAAGGCCGAGGATTTATATGTGGCCTGGTGAACTGAGGCAGAAAAACGATCCATTTTGTTCTGCAATACCGGCTTTGGAGGGCCGAGCAGCCCGCCCTGGACAGGGCTAAGATGCCTGGCGATAGAAGGCTCGATAATGGGGGGATCACCCAAGCCGTGCACCGCCATATCCTTAACCTCGAGGCCCGCAAGACCGTGTTTGAGGTTAAGTGGATTGCTCCAGTAATGCCTCATGTGCTTCGCGCATGCTGGGAGGATAGGGAAAATTTGTTTCCTCGGGCCGGGAGTGGGTCCCAGCAGCTTCCCGGCATAAATATCCCTCTCCTGGTCAGTGGCGCTCTGTGGAGCCGGCCACTCAATGTTGAAGCGAGCGACCGCTCATTCACAGATGTCCAGGAGGATGGATTGGAGCAAGGCCACGGGGGCGTTAGCCTGGGGAACGCCAGAGGGCAGGATGGCCTCCTCGTCCTCTGAGACCCCGAGAAGGCCATCATCGCCGGAACCGGATTGGGCTGGTCGGCCCAGTCGAGAGATGTTGCACCCCGGGAGGCCCCCGGTAGCGCGTCGTCATCGCTGTGTCCCCCATCTGAATCGGAAAGGCTGAGCTCGACGCACTGGGTCGCGGCAACTTTAAGACGGCACCGAAGGATCTTTTTAGGCAACCTAAGGCAATGACTGCAATTTTCGCGGTTCTCCAAGGCTTCCTCTGCATGTTTGAGGCCCAGGCAGACCACGCAGAACAGGAGAAGATCCTTAGAGGCGATAAGCGTGCCACACCCGGCCGAGCAGGCCCGTGATAACTATCCCCAGGATAAGAAGCCGATTTCGAGAGCGACATACTGGCAAACAACTGAGAAAAATCCGTAGCGGGCCGCCGTGGAAAGGGGAGCAGGCGAGAAAATTATGATAGGCGGGCAGCCTAAAGACAAGAGAGAGCGTGGGCGGCTCAGGATGCAACTCAAAATACTATAGAACTCATTATAATCAGTGATAAAAAATGCTACACTGCCTTTCCTTTTTTACGGTCCATTATCTAGCTTTTACTGAAAATTAGCTCGTGTTGCAATCTCTCTGATGACGTGCTTGATTTTGACTGAACGGTTCGGTCGGCCCATCTCGGGACCAGGCAGACTGGGCCAAATGCTTAACATTTATTTATTATTAACATTATTATTATTATGACCATAGAGAAATCGTGCAAGCGATAAAAACCTGTCCTATGCGCTGTTGGCCCGTAAAAAACAATTTTATTTATATATATTTAGAAAAAAATCTGACCGGCCCACATTAAAAAAAATGGTCCGGACCCTCTGGCATTTGCCAGAATTGCCAGATGGCCAATCCGCCCCTGGGTCAGGTTGATATTCCCTTTGCCTAGAGGGCTTATGAAGAGGCACTTTTGTTGGAACTGGCTCGCTGGGCTTCTTGACGCCTACAGTGCAGGTAAACACAAAGAGGGTTGATGAAGGCCAGGAGACTCAGAACAGTCAGACCGATGTTCACCTAGAGAAATCAATTGTTACAGTTCAATCAACACTATTGATCTAAAACAGGGACTTTTTTTAAATGTCAGAAATTCTTTAAATAAACAGTTCTTGTGTTTTTTTTTTCTTGATGGGTGTGTGAACAACACAACAGAACTTCTCAGAAAAAATGACAAATATGCTGAATCTATCTCTGCCAAACAAATGCCTTTCATGACTTAGGACTAGAG